GATGGAAGGCTGAGTCAACCTTGAGCCTGGTGAGATTTGAACTGCCAAATTGCAAGCAGCCAGCAGCCAGCAGAAGTATCCTGCAATACTGCACTCTAACCACTGTGCCAGCTTGGCTGCTATTGCTATAAATACTATCGCTATAGCAATAAAGCCCAACTAATAAGGAATTAAGGAAATAGGGATGCATGCTTACATTGTGCTCATCCATCTGGTCCCCATCGCTATCCAGATTGAGAAACAATGATGGCACATTCCCTGCAGCATCGATTGGCATTCCCATTCAGTTTCCTCCTTTTCACCTGTGTCACTTATGCAACTGTGCATATCTGCATATATGCCCCACCTTACCTTATCATAAAAAATAAGTAGTACACTTCCAATACATTTCTAGCCTAGGTAAAGAATATATTTCCTTGAAGGAAGCAGCCAGCTTTAAGTTGAATTTTGAACACTCCCCACTTCCTGGTATCTGGGTTTCCCTTCTTGCCAGTTGCAAAGATTAAATGTGAAGTGTTCTTTCTTGAAAATATTTGTATATTAGATGTAGGTATGCTACAATAGAGACATGTCTTTGAAAATCATATTCTTTATTCTTACTTCTACATAAGCACTCTTAGCTGTCCAAGCACAGTCTGATCCAATATCAATATTATTATTATTGATATCCAATATCAAGGTGTTCTAGGTCCATGCTGGTATCAAAATTTGTACATGTGTCACCAGAGAATACATTTATTTCAATTTTTCTCTAATGCCAGTGATAAAATAAAACTGATTCTGATTTTTATGATGTACACTGCTCATACTGAGGCATCTCTTTATCTTATTCCATCTCTCCTTAGCACTGGACATTACAAGTGCTTATTAATTATCATTGCAGTACGTTGACATGTATTTCTAGACATTTCCAATTCTAATGGCTCCCTCTGGACATGCATGAGTTTTGTAACTTCACTGTGAATAAAAATATATATAACAGGAAGAAAAAGTAGAAAACATTCTGTGTGAAATCTGAACCAACTATCAATTTAACAAGCCTTTGTGATTAGCAGAGATTATAGAGCTAGTTTGACCATTGTTGCCAAGTCTTGAGGCCACAAGAAAATAATTATTTCTTTTTTCCAAGAGAACATTCAAATTAGTCATCCTTGGAGCAGCAAGCTAATGTGTTTTCTCCTTTAAAAACAGAAATTCAGTGTTTTGTCTATGATAGTTGGGTGTCCTTCTTCCACGGGCAGAACAGATGAGAGTGTGAAGCAGAGGTGGTATTCAGTAGGTTCTGACCAGTTCTGGAGAACCGGTAGCGGAAATTTTGAGAACCAGCAAACACCACCACCACCACCACAATTCTGAGAACCAGCAAACACCACCTCTCACTGGCCCTGCCCCCATCTCTTCTCTGCTTCCTGAGTCCCAGCTGATTGGCTGGGTCTTCTTCTGTTGCCCTGCACAGGAGAACGGAGCTGGAAAGCAGATTAGTGGGGTGGGGAGGGAATGGGATTTTGAGTAACATTCCCCTGCCATGCCCACCAAGCCACACCCACAAACAGGTAGTAAAAATTTTTGAATCCCACCACTGGTGGGAAGGTGGTTCTAGGTCCACGCAGGTATCAAAATTTGTACATGTGTCACCAGAGAATACATTTATTTCAATTTTTCTCTAATGCCAGTGATAAAATAAAACTGATTCTGATTTTTATGATGTACACTGCTGATACTGAGGCATCTCTTTATCTTATTCCATCTCTCCTTAGCACTGGACATTACAAGTGCTTATTAATGATTTGTCCCACAGAATGAGAAGAGGAGGTTTAGTGATTAAGGCGCCAGGTAAGAAATTGGGGGGCTGGGAATTTTAGTCCTGCCGTAGGCATGAAAACAAGCCAGGTGATCTTGGACCAGTCATTCTCTCTTTCAGCCCAACCCACCTCACAGGGTTCTTGCTGTAGGGAAAATAGGAGGAGGAAGGAGTATTGGCATACTTGCCACCTTGAGTTGTTTGTAAATATAATAAAGGTGGGATATAAATAAACACAAATAATTAAAGATGAGAGAATAATCTGTAGATCAAAGTGCACTTGTACTATGCAAAATAACTTGTGCTCATCAAAATATATAACAGACATTCCTAACAGTAAAAATCAGTGTGAGTATTACAATTGGAATTTTCTCTATAAAAATTTGGATGCATAAAATGATTGCTTCTTTATTTTGAATGATTTCAAACTCAGCTATCATCAAATTTATTCCATATCTAAAAAAATCATCATGAAGAGTCACAATTTCCGATGTTCATACTCTAGCTGCCAGTTTTCCATGGTTTGGCAGCCAGATAATTGTTCTAAAAGAAGTTTAACATTTCTTTGCAGTACATAAGCAGCTCACAATTCTGAATTTAGACCAACCAGAGAGGAAAAAAGTGAACAAAAATCTTCTTCAGAAATTTCAGCTGATTTTGCAACTGGCTAGTGATGTAAAGCATGGGAATTAATTCTTTGGGGTCACTTGGAAGATACAGATACAGAAAGATTGGTGCAAAACTTTCATAGTCTTATACATTAATGCTCAGCATAAAGAAAATGAACACGATGAGTGTGAGCTCTTTAACTCAACAATCATATTTAATAGATAAAAAACAAAGACTTTGTGGGAAAACTCCCATGATTAGATTGTAATAGTGAAAAATGCATTTTTTTCAAAATACACAGAATCAATTCTTTAATTTCAGTTCCTGTTTCCAGTTTAATAAAGTCCTAAGTATTTGAAAGCAGAACAGAGCCCCATGTCTGTTATTCACTTGATGTGTTATACAAGAAGAGAGGTGCAAACTTTCCCTAACACAAAATCCATTAAGTAAGGTATGAGTTTGTATGTGTGTGTGTGTGTGTGTGTGTGTGCGTGCATGTGTGTGTGTGCCTACCTGTTATGGGCTGTGCAACACTATTGTAAATTGCTATTAGTCCCTATTCACCTCAACCTGATATCCTTTAAATGAGTTGGAGCAAAACTGTCATGCCCCTGGTGGAAACTGACTCTGAGGAAGAGGAGGAACAGCCAACAGGGAGTGGGAGTGTGGCTCCAGAGGTGGTGGAGGAGGCTGGGGAAGGGCAGAGGCTGGCTGAGCAGTCAGAAGGGGATCCAGTCCCATCCCCTATCCATCCTAGGTCACACAGGGAGGAGAGGATCAGGGAAAAGCGAGGTCTACTCAAGAGGAGATTACCATGATCCTCCTCATGGCTTGCAGGTGGGAGCTATGTATATAAGTATGCAACTGCACAGTTAGAATTTGCAGGAGTCAATTTAGTGTTCAACTTGAAAGAGGTTATCTTTGTTGGCATTCTTCCCATGGACTTTTTTCGGTTATTTTCCTGGAGTTTATCTTGGCTTGCTTCGGAACTCTCATCAATGCTGTTTGTTTTGGTTTTCTGTTTGCCTCATTACTTACTTTTGTGATTTTAAACTGTGCCAAATAAAACAGTGAAGTTAAGTTGAAGGCCTTACCGGACTTTAATATATGTTTTGGGTTTTGGGTTATATTGAGAGACTACGGGTCATCACAAAAGTTCTCTGCACCCTTTCTTTGCATATTTTAGCCTCCAGTGCCCTAATCCTCTTTGTTGCTCTTCTCTGCACTCTTTCTTTAATCTCAACATCTTTTTTACATCGTAGCAATAAAAACTGGATGCAGTATTCCAAGTATACTCTCATAAAGCAGTATTGCTCAAGTCTTAGGCCTCCAATGGTGGAATTCCTCTATACAGGCAGTCCTCAACATACAACAGTTCATTTAGTGACCATTTGAACTTACAGTGGCACTGAAAAAAGTGACTTATGACCATTTTTCACACTTAGGACCTTGGCAGCATCCTTATGGTCACGTGATTTACATTCAGATGCTTGACAATTGACTCACATTTATGATGGTTGCAATGTCCCAGGGTCAAGCAAAGTCAACGGGGAACCAAATTCACTTAACAACTGTGTTACTAGTTTTAACAACTGCAGTGATTGAAATGTGACAAGAAATATCATAAAATGAGCCAAAACTCACTTAACACGTTCCTCACTTAACAACATAAATGTTGGGTTCAATTCTGATCATAAGTTGAGGACTACCTGTATTTGCTCAATTAGGCGAGTACTTAACAAGAAGTTTCCTGCCCTAACCCTCCTTTAGGAGTATTATTATTTTAAAAAAGTTAAAATAACCAATGTCCTTAAATTATGTTTACACCGTCAGTCACATTAGCCTGTCACAAAGGGGAAAAAAAAGCTAATAAGTACATTCTGCCATAAGCTTCAGCAATGCCTCGCTCTGCAAAAGACACTCTTTAAGGGTAGAACCGATCAAATGTTTCTTTAAAAGTCCACATTCCTTTGAGAAAACAGGACGACGCCTGTTCCAGAGTCGGATCGCATTCCAGCTCCTCTTGGAGAAAGACTCTCAAAAGTAAATCCAAAAGTAAAATCAGTGTTTGTTTTCGGACGAAAAAACGAGTCCTCCCCCGCCCCTCCCCGTCTTCTAAAGCAACCCCAATTTTATACCACGGCAAGGGCACGTAGTTTTATCGCAGCGGAGGTGGAACAACCTCGCAAGTCCGTGCAGCCGGCCTACAACTCATCGCTTGAGTCGCGTCGCGGATATTTTGGGTTGCAGCCCCACAAAGACCAACCTTCCGCTCCCGGGCAGTTAATTAAAGTGAGGAAGCGGGGTGGGGGAGAAGAGGTTGCGGAGGGGAGATTGGGGGAAAGAGAGAAGTTTCGGAGGGAGGGGCTGTTTAATTAGCTCTTTCCTTCACCAGCGCCCCCTCCTAATCCCACCCACCCATTTCGTCCACTTTGCCCCCGGGCAGCCGGTAGCGCGAACGCACGCGGGAGCTGCTGGTGCTGCTTTTTTCCCCCCAGGTTTGACGTGAGCTTCCCCGCAGGCTCTTTCCTCGTCCCTCCCCACCCCCACCGTCCCCTCCCGAGGGCGGGTGACCCAGCCAGTCGGGGAAGAGAGGAGGAGGTGCGGAGGTGCCAACGCATCCCTCGCTCAGGCGCACCAGGGAGACCGACTGCAGACCGGCGAGGCAGGCCCAGGAGGAGCTTAGCGCGCCTTTTCCAGATCCAGGAACTGATCGGAGGGCAAAAACAAAAAAAAAACCCCAAAACGGTTTTCTTCTAGGCTTTCTCTGGTGGGTAGGAAGATGGAAAGATGCTATTTAATTTACTCGTTTGTTATGCGTCTAAGCTATCGACCCGCGCGCTCGACGAACGTGTCCCCCGCCCCCTCAGAGTCTGCAGCGATGCCTGAGAGGAGTTAGAAGAGCGGTGTGGAGAGCTTTTGGTCTCGACTCTCCTCAGGGCTGGGATTGGGGGAAGCTTCCTCGAGGCTCAGATGGAGCGTATCTGGATTATAGTCTGCTCCTGCCTCCTTCTCGCCTTCCTCGGGTACCGGCCGGCTCGGTTCTTCGCGCGGCTTCATGCTGCTCTCGGATAGCTCCGCGCTTTGGAAGAGCCGGGAGCCTTCCGGCCGAGGGCGCGCGCCGCAAGATGCCTCTTTGCAAGATATCTGTGGAGGTTCTCAAGTCATCCGGGTCGCTGGTGTCTCAAAGGTGCTTTTTTTTACCCCCAAGAGGCGGCTGGATTCGGGTACCCCCTGCCCCCTTTGGGGAAGATGATTCGCTTCTCATGCGAGAAACTTATTCAGTTCTGACTGGATGGTGGGGGTGGAAAGATTTCGACCAAATCCCTGTAAAGGAGTACAGATAGTCCCCGACTTTCCACCGCAATTGAGGCCAGAATATATGTTGCTAAGGGAGAAATTTGTTGAAGTGAGTTTTGCCCCATTTTACTAGTTTGGTGCAGTGGTTAGAGTGCTGTACTGCAGGCTGCTTCTGCTGATCGCTGGCTGACTGCAATTTGGCAGTTCAAAACTCACCAGGCTCAAGGTTGACTCAGCCTTCCATCCTTCTGAGGTGGATAAAATGAGGACCCGGATTTTTGGGGGGGGCTTATGCTGACTTAGAGAGGGCTGTAAAGCACTATAAAGTGATATATAAGTCTAAGTGCCATTGCTATTTTCTTGTCACATTTGTTAAGTGACTCAGTCACTGCAGTTGTTAAACTAGTAACCCGGTTGTTAAGTGAATTTGGTTTCCCCATTGACTTTGCTTGTCAGAAGGTCACAAAAGGGGATCACATGACCCCAGGACACTGCAACTGTCATAAATACGAACCAATTGTCAAGCATTTGTACGTAGATCAAGTGACCATGGGGGATGCTGCAAAGGTTGTTAAATATGAAAAATGGTCATAATGCACTTTTTTTCCAGTGCCGTTGTAATTTTGTACAGTCGCTAAATGAACTGTTGTAAGTCAAGGACTATCTGTACAAGTCCTTCCATTTCTCCCCCTCACCCAACCCCATCCAATCAGAACTGAAGAAGCTTTTTAGATGAGAAGAGAAATGTCCTCCTCAAAGGAAAAAACAAAGTCCAGTTGCCTTTTGAAAAAAGCACCTTTGAGACCTTTTTGTAAGAGTGGCTGGACCATTATTTTTCTGCCTGCTTGCAAGGTGTGTTGTAATGGTTAAAAAGGCCATTGTTATAGCCTCAGTGCAACTGGGGCAGAGAGCTGTTCCCTGAACTTTGAGCCTTTTCGCCTTACGCTTTCTAAGGCTGCTCTTTTTAAAAATGATTTTATTGATGTAGTAATGAAGCGCTGACCCTAGAATTTTAGTCCCATCTTAGGCATGAAAGCCAGGTGAAGATTCTGGTCAGGCCCTGAATTGCTTGTTGGTACTTGAATCCATTCATTATCATATATTTTGGATATTCCAAAACTTTAGTACTGAGATGGAAACCAGGACAAATCAAATCCTTCACTTGTGGGTCAGAATACGTTAGACTCAACTATGAATTAAATTTGCCATATATATGGAGAATGGTTGTATGGGGGAATTGTCCACAGGAAGACAATGGTTCTTGAGCTAGAAATGTGACTAACATGGATTCAAAGACAGATACATTTAGAAAATTTTGTAATTGCCCTGATTGGAAAGGTCACATTATTTTCTTTGTAGCCAATTCTACATATTGTTACTTTCATGGAAATAGAAAATGGAGAATATCCATGTATAAGAAAATCTACGGTGCATATAAGATAGGACAGTATCTCTGCCCTTTCTGTCTTCATTTAGAACTAAGATGCTAAACAAAATGTAAGTAGGCAGTAAAACTGTAGAGGAACATTTCTAAGCATTTATAATTAAAAAAGAACATTTGGTACATCTTAAATACTTAAATACAGTTCAGTTGTCCTTTATATTTGTGGATCAGACTCTGGAGCCTTATGCCATAGTAGCTACTCATTTCCTCAAAGAGTGAATTTGTTCTTATGTAGCCAAAAGGGCACCATTCACTCAAAGTTGGTTAGATTTTATCTCAAAAAGGTACTTCATATTGTAGAGATGATGTACTTCTCCTGTAGTTCACATCATTTCCACCCCCAAATCCCTCTGGCAATTCTACTGGCACGTGTGCAAATATATGCTGAAGCCTCTTCTAGTTAATGGAACTCAGAAGCTTGGAGAAATCAAACAAGATGCTTTGTTGTTAGAAGAAGGGTTGCATACAGATGGTCCTCATTAATTTTTCTTACTGGCCTGTCCACCTTGGTTCCTTTTGGACAGACTCTAGTACACTAGCAATTACAGTGGAGCCTGGCAACTCAGTTGTTAAGCAAAGCAGTTGCCAAATGAAAAACTTCAAATGTGTTTATGATCTTATTATTTAGCTTTCCTTTGTTTGCAGACCTGCAAGGCAAGGACTGCTCATAAAGTTTCATTTTCATCACTTCTGAAATTCTGGAGAATCATTAAACGAGCCAGTCACTAAACAAGGAGTACCTGCAGGTGTTGCTTCATGCAACAACTTTAAAACTCTACTACGGTATCCATACAAAGGGATGGTATAATAATATGGCTTGGTTTGCAGAAATCATCAAAAGGATTGGGGGAAGCAAGAACCTATAGAGCAACTATCCTCCAAAATAACTTAATGTTGAATGGCAAGCCCAGTGGTAGATATTATATCTATCCAGGTGTGAGAAAAGAGGGATGGGAAAGTGAAAAGAAATTTGAATGCTTTGTCGCAGCTGGGATTCTGAAAAGAAAATTTCAGTCCTCCAGCATTTTTGAAGGTTACTGTTAATGTAATGAGTAGAAGATCCAGCTTTTGGAAGAAAATAGTATTCTTAGAACTTGAATGAGTCATCTTCTTGGCTTTCAGTTTCGATCATCTAATATCAGTAATGAGGATTTGGAAGTTCGTTTAAGACATTTTCTCCCTGGGGAAAAAAAAAAAGATTGACATTGGTTTTTTTTTGTTTCTGGTATTTGCCTGTAGGAGAATCATTACAGCAGTTCTGAGGATGTTTCTGCTTGGCTTGCTCTTCTTGCCGGCTCTTCTGGGCATGGTCTTTTCAGCCCCTGCTTCAGACAGTAAGAAAAAGGAGCAACCGCAGGAGATACTGCTAAGCTTTCCAAAGGATGAAACTAGCCTGAATGAAATGCTCCAGGAAGTCGAGGAGTTGATGGAGGATACTCAGTACAAGCTGACCAATGCAGTCAAAGAGGTAAGACTTTTGTCTGGAGAGTTGGAATAAGAATTTAATGTTTAAAGCTGATAGAGAAATCTCACTACAGTATGCTTTATAAGCTCAGGGTTTTAGATTAACAACAACAAGATTAAAATATAACATACCTATGCTGCTGAAATGACTACCATTTTAATTGAATATTTGAAGAAAAGGTATGTATCTGTCTGCGAAATGAGAATAATGACGTGTAATAAAATGGTGGAGAATCTACCTGCTCAACCTAATAGGTTAATTTGGGTGACTTGTCCTAGGCAATCGGCAACAGAGAGTGTGAAACATTAAGGGTGTGAATATTTTATTTAAGTATCACCAGTATCAGCAACTATTTTTATGTTTGTCAAAAGACTTAAGTGTCAAAGGCAAAGAGGGTAGGAAAAATGAGGCAGAATAAAAAGAGTATCTGTAACTGTAAAATGCATGCTGAAGAATTGATTTATCCATCATATCTATGTAGAAATTTACTTGCAAATCCCTTACAAAGAAGACATTAATTTTTGTTCCTCATTCATACAGTAGGCCTGCAATCTTGTCTTATCTATGCTTTTATTTTATATGAAAGGAAAAAAATCACTTTCAGCTTATTTTTCATTTTTCTTCCCCTGGAATCATGCACATATTTTCAGACTGGTAACATTAAGGTGAAGTATAGGTTGATCTTATTTCTCATCCTGATTAACTGTTTTCATGATGTGAAAAACTGATGTTGAGTTTTCAAGCATTTTTACGTATTGAATAATGGACACATCTAATTTGGCACATGTTCCTGTTGCTGATCTTCTAATGTTAAATCAGTAACTGCGTGGAAGGAAAACCATCTGCTTCATTAAATAGTACTGGCAGGTTTGTTGCTTTACAGACTAATTATGTATACATATACATGGAATTTTGGAAATGTCTATGAGTTTCCCCCCCTTTTACCATATAAGAAATATTTATTGTCAAATATTTTGTATCTTATATATCTCCCACCAATATTCTGAATATTTCACAAATATTCTGAATGTGCCGTTTTGGAAAGAAATGATTTGTTGGTTTGTTTGTTTTTTGCCAACCTACAATTGACTATGGATGGACAGGACTGGAAGCCATACATCCTGGTTTACAAAGCACAGTGGTTTGTTCATATAATCTGCATCTAAATAAACTAAACTGACATAGCACAATGTGCACATCAAGCTAGTAAGTTTCCAACCCCATTTGATTTGATTTGGAGCTGTGTACATTTCATATTAGTCAAGTTTGGAAAAATAGGCTGCATACCAAACCCTCTTAGAAGAAGTAAATCCTGTTAAATAGACACTTTATACAACAGTGTATTTTCTAGTTGTTGCTTAATTGTCTATGTCTTTTTAAATGCTTGATTTTTCTTTTTTTACTTCTGAATCCTAGACCTCTTATTCATCAACACTGGGGGGGGGGGGGGGGGGGGGCTTCGCTGCTGGTGGTGTCCTTCAGCTGCTCCTCTCGGGTGCTCATGCCAGCTTCTCTTAGCCAGCTAAGAAAATTCTATCTGGAGTGAGATACTTGGGCAACAGCTTGCAAGGTATTCAGTCCAAACAGCAAGGTACCACATCCTCCTACTCTTCTATACCTTGGAATTAATTATTGGAGCTTTGCTACTAAGAAAATAACAGCTGAGGCATAAACTGAAGCAACAGCTTGAAACAGGCCCAGGGCTGGCTTCAGTGTGGCTTAGATATTACTGTTTTATTAAATTCATAGCAACCTACATTACCCACAAGATTCAATTAAACTTTTTATTTTTAGTAATTTTTGTATTAATTCAACAACTTGCCGACCAATTATTCTTATGCAACAATATTTTATGCAATTGTCCCAAATAATCAAGTCATTTCCTTGATGGCATAATACACGAATCTCAAAAAAATGTTACAACTACAGCAAAATAATTTCTCATGATAGAAGTCATTCCTTGATTTTCTGGATTTTCTTATTTATTTGAAACTTCTTTATACCACATTTCATTTAAAAACAAACCAACCCCCCCCCTTGATGTGGTTTTGAACAAACTCCAAACAATTCAAATACATTAAAAATAACTGCAAGCATATATTAAATTATTATATTAAACCTATAAAAAAAAGACAAAGAGAAAATAATAAAACCACTAGATCAAGTAAAAACTTCAATAAGGCAGTAAGGCTCTAATGAAGCAATCAAAACGTTAAAAAGTTATGATATGTATGTAGTTATTTACCAAGCACATCTAAATTATATTAAAGATACCAAAATATCTTTACAATCTCCAAGGCATGTCACAACTTTAGAGCACCTCTAATGTTTGGAAGTTGAAAGCTGAAAAATTTGACATGCCCTACTTGATGCTGGGAAAGAGATGAAGAGCTGGACCAGTAACAAGATGATTGAACTCAATTACAGGGACAATGAGTGCACCATTGAGAACTTGGAAGAACAGATTAGGGGTAGATCTTTGTGGAGAGGATCTCTCTATATGGCCTCTAGATGTCAAAAGTCATATACAATGACATATAAATTAAGGAAGTTAAAATTCAAACAGCAGTAAAACATTATTCAAAAGACCAAAAAACCTAAATGTTCCTTTGCTTGACACTGAAAAGACCATAAAGATAGTTCTAGGCTTAACCTGCTTGGGAATGGTATTCCTTAAAAGCAGTAGGGGTTTATAGGTTAAAACCAACACCTTGCCTTGGGATTGAAACCAGCCTGGGAAGCAGTGAAGATCACATAGAAATTGCCAGGAGCGTTTTTACTGGTTCCAGACAATATTGTAGCCTAAACAGAATAGCCATGGATATCATGTTATCAGTATTCCAATATCTAATTGGCTGCCATAAAGAAGACTGGTTTCAACCTATTCTGTAATGCAGTGGTATCAAACTCTATTTCATTGAGGGTCACATCAGAGTTGTGTTTGACCTTGGGGGGCTCGGTTGGGTGTGGCCAGGGTGACATCATGTGTCAGGGGATGCCTGTGGTGACCTGAGCACTTTGCCAGTGAAAACAGGCTTTTGAGCTCTGTTTTCGGCTGGGACAACCTCCTGCAACCCTCTGCCAGTGAAAACTGAGCTGGTAGAGGCACTGCAGGGCGGGTCCTTTACTATTTCCAGGCGGCCCCGTGGGCCAGATCTAATCACCCTGCAGGCTGGATCCAGCCCCGGGGCCAAGAGTTTGACACCCCAGCTCTAAAGCATCTGAAGGCAGAACAAGAAGCAATGGATGGATACTAATCAAGGGGAGCCACCAACCTAGAACTAAGGAGAAATTTCTTGAACGTCAGAACAATTAATCAGTGGAACAATGTGCCTCCGGAACACGGGTGGGATTAAACTGCTGTTACTACTGTTTCACTACGTGTGCGTGTACAGCATTTGCAAAAAAAAAAAAAAAAAAATCAGCTGCGTTGCCCGGACAGCTGACAACGGGTGCGCAGCATTTGAAAAACCTCTTCTTTCTTGCTTTTTCAACCTCAACTATGCCACGCAAAGCAGCTGAGGTTGAAAAAGCAGGAAATAAAGGACAGCCAAGAACCTGGGCGAACTGGTTCAGGGACTGCTGCTCTTCAGAGCTACTGGTACTATAGAACGGGGCCGAACCAGTAGCATCCCACCCCTGCTCCTGAAGCTTTGGAACACTGGAGGTTTTTAAGAAGAGATTGGACAACCATTTGTCTGTAATGGTTTTGGGTTTCCTGCTTGAGCAAGGGGTTGGACTAGAAGACCTCCAAGGTCCCTTCCGATTCTGTTATTCTGTTATTTGTTTCTCTAGAAATCAGCTAGAGGTGATGTTGCTTAAATATCTGCCTTGGACATGTCAGCCCCTACTAACTTGTGTACAATTTATGATACTTGGGTAGGAAATTCATTCTTTTCTGTTCGGTTTTTGAATGTCATGATGTATGCTTCCGTCCTCTTCCCTGCTGCTTCCCTGGCTTGTTTGTTCATTCTTCATTGTGAATGATCTATCTGCCAATCAGCTTGACTGTTTATATCTGGGCTTCTAAAAAGAAGTATTTGTTCTGATGATCCTGAATCTCAAAGCAGATTTGTATCTGTTATCCATTTTCTTTTTCCCTGCCCTCGCCTTGGCCACACCCTGGGGAAAAATACTTTCATGATTTTGAAAAGCATCGTGTTTTAGGGAATGGAGACAAGACAAAACAAGATCCTGCTGTGTAAAATCAACTTTTTTTGAAGAAAAATTTGTTCATGGATTTATTATTCTCTCTCTCCTCAAATACTCATTTATTCTGACCAAAAAGGCTGCTAAGTCTGTCTTCAGTACTCCTAATATTCTTGGTGTAGCCCAGCTTTTGTTTACATAGTTGAAAGTGATTCAGCTGTTTCAAATCTGCTTTCCTGACAGGCTGAAAAAAATGTTCCTGTGTTTTCCTTTGTTCTGAGATCTAGTACTGTACTTTGTACTTTCACAGCTGAGTCTTCTGCTTAATTTTCTGTTTTCCAAGTATATGTTGTGCTTGACCTGCAGTTTGCCTCTGGGTCTAGAATCAAGGCTTGGGTTTGGTGGGCCGTGAGTGCTCTTGACTAAGAGCAGAGTTTCCTCGCATCTGTAAATGGAAACAGTAGCTTCATCTGGGATGAAGCAAAGACAGCTTCCTATCAGAAGACCTGTCTAGGCACGATGGTGCCAGCACTTTGTTTTAGAGATTAAGCATAGCCTGTTTATAAACATTCTTGTGTTTCTCTGGGACACAGCCAGTCTTGGTGTGATTCTGCTTCTGATTTCTGTCACCAGCACATTGTGCAACTCAGACAAATGTCACTGGAAACAATGTACTCCCTTTCCATTTGACGTGCTGAGAATTTTTAATTGCTGTAGAAAGCTAGAATTGCATTGATCTTCTCCCACCTTCCATTCTGCCTTAAGATAAGCAGCAACAGGGTAGACTTATAATAAAGAGTGTCTCTGTATTGATACAGGCATTCATTCTCACTAAAATATACATTGAAACATAATGGTTTGATTTAAAGTTCTGGAAATTATACTTCTAATTATTATGCTACTCCTGTTCACATGAACTGGGCTTATAGTTTTGTGTCAGTGCATAATCTCATGTTTTGATTCTTAGAGACCAGTGATGGTTAACCTTTTCGTTGTCACATGCCAAAAGCGTGCATTTTTGTGTGTGTGTGCATGTGTGTGTGCTTTTACCCATAATGTAATACATGTGCGCACTTCCACCCCCCTGCACATGCAGGCATGACCCCCTGTGCTCCCCCATCCCCTGCACATGAGCACGTGTCTCCCACATGCACCCTGCCCTCCCGCACATGTGTGGCAGATACCCAACAATCAGCTGGTTGGCGGGAGGCGCGCACGCATGCGCAGTGGAACTGTGCTGGGGTGATGGCTCGCATGCCAGCAGAAATGGCTCTGTGTGCCACTTCCGGCATGCGTGCCATAGGTTCGCCATCACGGTTATAGACCAAGCAATGTTCAAGTATTGAAGCTGAATTAATGGTGCAAGCAAGTCAAACTTTTTATTTTGCTCACAGTTTTCAGCCTTGTGCCTAATATTTTTGTTTGACTCTATTGTAAAATGAAAGAGAAAACTGACTGCCTAACAGCCTTAAAATGACTTGCCCGTTGCTTGTCATAAGAATGTGCTGTGGGATAAGCTCAACATTGAAAATTAACACTGCAATTAGGGAAAGATGGGACAGTTCTCTTACTAATAGTTTGACTGGTATTTGGCAGAATGATCTATGCTGCCAATAAGACCAACTTGCCTAGAGTGTGCCATTTGTATTCAGATTGATCCCTAATGTTATGACAATCTTGTTTCCCCTTCCTAAGAATTCTATTCCTCTGTGATTGGTTAAATGGTAAACCTTTAGCTGTGAGTACAATGAGAATTAAAAATTGTGATAATTTATTTATTTGCAAAATTTTAAAATGATTCCTGATAGATAGGTTAGTTCACAGTGAAAAAACAATTTCCCCCCAATCTCTTGAAAAGAGATATGAGCAAATAGGATATGCCAGTTCTCTTTATTGGAGATGGTCATGGACATACCTAGAAGCCAAGCCATGAAGGGCTTTATAGATGAGTGTTTGGTAATATATTAAAGATGGATAGTAAACTCCTTGGTTGACCAATCTGGCTGTGTTCCTGCCTCAGATAACTCAAAATAAGCAGCTTTTGAAGAATCATCAGATTTTCCCCAATGAAGAGCAGTTATTCCTTGATTGGCTTTACTGTTTATTTGCTAAAGACAAACATGATATGTACATTTGCTCTTTTGAGTTAGGACAGGTGCCAAGATTTAAGAGAAGGTGTGGACTATTTTGTCCAAGAGATCAAATAGCAAAATCATTGCTAGCTGTTCCTTTTCAAATATTGAATAAGATAACAACAATGACAAGAAAATAGGTGTGTTTGTAATCATTTGTCAAAGAAACATATTCTAGACTGTTCCCGTTTCTTAATTTTTTTTCTTTACTATCTTTCACAAATAAAGATTTTATTTAACTCCATGTCGAATGTTTTGCCTCCTGTGATGAGAAGTATAAATTGCAGTATTTTTAATTTTACCATGGTCATTATTGAAGTAATAATATAAATATGTTTTTCATATTTTGAAGTTTACACCAAATATCTACATGAAATAATGTTTTTGTTTATAATCCAGATACATCTTAATTTCTGGAATAAAGGCTGGAGAGCAACTTTTGATTGTATCTATTCATATTCATAAGGATAACATAGCTGCGTAATTTTACTAAATTGGTAATGTAGCCTCAGGAAATTGAAGTTTAATCAGGTAATTACCATGGGTGCAGCATAGACACTCAAGAGTAGTGGAGGAAGAATTGCAGTATCCAGAGAAAATAATTAGGAATAGAATCTTAAGAGAAAATTGTTTCTGGTTTGAAATTTGTTATTGCTGCCAACTTGTTCTTCCTTTCCAAAAATATCACCTTTCACCTTCAAAAGGATTTTCCATATCCTCTGCATAACAAACCTCTCTGTATTGGAAAATAAATATTCTGCAGTTTCAGACAAGGCAGACAGTACCACAAATAGTAAAGTTTTGAATGAACTTTGTGCATGTGTATATTGCTCTATAAATTTAACAACTTTGCATGGATAATGAAGTCAGTCACTTGTTCTATGCAAAGCTGAGTCTATCTGGAAATACATATTTACTGATGTAGATGTTTACATAGTATTTGTAACTGTAATCATAATCTTTCTAGATGGAAGCAGAGGAAGAAGGCTCTAAAAAGATAATGGGAATTGAATTTCAGAAGCTTCCTGCCAATTACCATAATGAATCCTACACAGATACAAAAGTTGGAAATAAAACTATACACAGACATCAAGAAATTGATAAGGTGAAATGTTTTCATTTTATGCATTTTTATATGTGCATATTTCCTTCAGTCTTCACTGATTTTCTTCAACTTAGTGTTCACCAGATGCATTAGTAGTATAATTTTCATAATTCACCCAATTGTAGCTTTTTAGAGATACATTTGGTTTAAGAAGTTGCAGTTTGGAGTCTTATTTTATCATATACTCTGAAGCACTTTTTGGCCTTCAAATCTAAACTATTGCATAACTGTAATAAAATTTTGTGGCTTGGCCCTCCAGTTTCTGTTGAGATCTCTAAAAACTATTTTAAAGCAATCGTGGGCAACATTTTTTCAACTGACTGCATGCTTCCTACTTGCTGTCATAGTTCCTAAGGCTGTAGGAGAAAGGTTTAATAATGATGCTGGTGGGGATATTGTGGGCATTTTGACAAATTCTAAGAGCAAAAGTTAAATGTTTTCTGTCAGAGGCTTAATGTACTGATTCCGGCTTTATTTTTTCTAAAAACAGCATAAAGTTGCACAGCTAAATCTTGGCCATTTTTCTCTCAGAATGTAGATTAGAGATTTTGCATAGATTCTGCAGGCTGTTCTAAAAAAGCCTCTTCAGTTGAATCAGGCCACCACCTATAAGGGTTGACCAGCATCAAGCAGCACATCTGGAGGGCATTATTAACTGATTTTCAACAATATTAAACAAGTAAAACAGTCTTGGATTGTCACAGATCCTTCTCTACTGTAAAATCATAGAATGGTTTCATTAGTTCTTTCTTTCTTTTCTTTTGCAAATAGTGCTTATGTTTTGTAACTTCATTAACATGTAGTTCCTTCAGATTTTTTTATATATAATATTGTGTTTAGGGAACCTGGATGAGGTTCTGCAAGATACTAAGATTAAATCTCATTCACCTGTCCCAAACCCAAATCCCACCAATTTCATATTATAATTCAAAATTGTTTGTTTCATAATTATAAAGTGATAGTTCCGTTCACAGATTTAAACAAAAAACAAAATAAAACCCAGCACTAGAACATTATTAAATGACAAAACCATTGCTTTACTGTGTGCCTGTTTTGCTCTCTTAGGTAACGGATAACAAAACTGGATCTACTAGCTATTCTGAGACTATTATTACATCAATACAAGAAGACAGAAAGAGAAATCATGTAAGTAATTCTTGTTTTGAAAAATAACATATCAATAAATGAATAAAAGTTGTCAAAACCTATATGGCGTGATTAAAACATAGGATTGTTCGACAGTTCATTATAATATGCATTATTCATATTTATGGTCTACTCTGGTGACTGTAATTTGTCATTGGTTGTCATGCATACATGCCAGGCATACTGTCATGTGTTTTAAAGTAATTATCACTAAATTCTCTAAATTATTGGGAAGTTTGGTGTTGCAGACTGAAGATACTTGGAGAGAAGATTGCAATGTAATTAATATTGATTTTAGCTTGCTTGTGGCTTTGATTTGGAAATTTCCTATTGTGTGGATAAGAAATCTTAATGCAAACATGAGTATTGCTTAAAGCAATGTGGAGTTATATTAATCTAATAACTTAATACAACACACAAATGTGATCAGAAATTAGATTTGTACCCCTTGCTTCAGATTACAAAATAACCAGTAAGCTTTTCTCTATGTTCCCTGATAAGCAGAGAAAATGTTGTAGAATAACCAAAAATGCAGCCCAGCAGTTGAACAAAAAAAAGATAAAGTCATAAAATATAGAAATATTCTTCATGTTCTATATTTCAGGGAATGTAACATTGCAAGGATCTAAAAAGTCAACTTCTTATTCTTAACCAGAAGCTAAAAAATTCAGGACAATTCTTTTTTTTAAAAAAAGCCTTCATTTTCATAGCTTTCCTTTTCTGAAAGGGATAGCACACAATTGGATGACAACCACTAACATAGTTGTGTCTCACTTATGGAACTGCTTTGAATTGAGCATAGTTTATAGGAGACCAGGTTTTTATTGGTTTCTAGATTGTGACTATCATGTTTGTTTTGTCCATCCATCCATCCTTCCAGGATCAAGCCACAGTAATTGCACTTGTAATTTGATCATTACTAGCAAGTATACTGCCACAGCAAGTGGCAACTTCTACCTGAGCTCAGATGATCTTAGGAACTAAGTAGAAATCAGCCCTGGTTAGCAGTTGAAGGGTGCCAAGAATTTTAGTGGGTTAGCCAATCTGGGAAATTCTAGAAATCTTTTAGAAGAAGGCTGTGGTTAATCTTTTCTGTGGATGCCACCTCGAGGAGGTAAGCTTGATATTTAGGATATTTACATTTGTTTCTATTAGTGAACACACTTGATTTTTATCCATGTATGTAGTTCTTAATACGTTTTGCAACAGTTTTGCGCCATGACCATTTTGTGCTCATTACATAATTCATAGATTTATTTCTCCATGGAGACTTGCTGAAACCCTACCTTTCTTTAAAAGATCTTGCAGCTAAAATACTTTTGATTCTTACATGAAACACAGCATATTTCCAAATATTCAAGACGGTGCAGAAAAAAAATCAATCAGAGAAGCGTTCAGATGGGTCAAGCAGAATGAGTGGAAAATTTAACAGCTAGCAGCAGGAGACTTTTGGTCAAGAAGGAGCTGTTGCAAAGAATTAAAACTGACGTGATTGCTTTTCTCCTGTCTGAAGAGAGATTGCTATTGAGACTGACAGCATGAATGTTGGCTGTAGAATTAAGTGCATCAGGAATATAAATCAGACTTTATGGGAGGAGGGAACTTGGAAGTAACTATTACTTTGTGGCTGGATGGCTAGGAAAGCCCCAGATATTCAAACATGCCTAAGTAAGGCTAATACAGGAGTAGAAGTTAAAAGGAGAGCCAAAAGTCTGCACAAGGGAGCCACTGTTCAGTAGGGTAAAGTCTTGTTCTATCCAGAACTGTTGGGGAGGTCAGTTCCGATACCACCACTTTGTCACAGGGATTGTCAAATGGAGACTTATTTGCACAGCCTGACTGAGTATGTTCATAGTAAGGATGCAGGAGGTGGGTGGAGGGCGTCCACCCTTTCATTTAATAAAATCCAAGAACACCTTAGGTCTGGCAAATCTATTATTTCCTTGGTTTGTCCTGAGGGTTCAGTCATTAGTTCAGTATGTGCAACAATAAATAGCTTTGAATTAATAACATCCACTTGTCTGAAAATGGTATTGGGTCTCCTGCTTGAGCAGGGGGTTGGACTAGAAGACCTCCAAGGTCCCTTCCAGCTCTATTCTATTCTAGAAATTGTTTCACTTGCTTGGCATAATTGGGAAGTTTAATCATTAAATGTGACATTGTATTCTTCAGTGCTAGAGAAAACTGGTTTGCCTTCAGTACAATAAGTTACTGTGAAATGTATTTGCTAAGTGCAGGTAATTCTTAACATATGACCACAGTGGAACCTGGAATTTTGGTCTAAATTGTTGCAATAATAAGTTAAGGCACCTTCTGATTGGACTTCATTCTAGGACCAGTTTTAAGATGGTCATAAAGCAAGACTTCACAGGTGTTACATAAATCATATCGTTGTTAAATCAATTTTCTGAATCGGCATGTTTTGCATTGCAAATCGTAGTTATGTAACGACACTCTAAATGTGAGTCAGTTGCTTGGTGCCCAAAATGCGTTAGCAGTCGTAACTTTAACGATGGGTTGTAAGTAGCTTTTTTAAAGGTCTATCTGTAACTTTGACCAGTTGTTAGGCTACCTGTATTTTGTACTTCAACGCATATCTGCATTGAAAAAGGTATCACAACCTGTTAGACCCCTTGGTATTGTTAGAATGTTTGATTTTATATGATTAAATAAATTAGTCCAGTACAGGGTTAGGCAATCAGTCAGGGGGAGCCATATACACAGACCAGTTTTTCTTGTTTTGATGTTAGTTGTGTGCTTCCTGTGTATTTGGTCTGTAGTCTGGGGCATATAATTTGAAAAAAAACTCATAAAAATGATAATCTAAAGCACTTTTGCAACATTAGGACTAGTTGGACTGATGGAATTCTATATGTAAACACTATATATACCACTCATGCCGGCAGAGGAGAGGCATGTTGGAGGTGGTTGACTGAACAGATCTCCCCCTTCCATTCCAGTTCTCCCCAAACCTTTGGCTGTAAGGTTTGATTTTAACATTTTATGTTTTAACTAAATTATAATTGTAAGCTGCCCAGAGTTGCCCTATTGTAAGATGGGCAGCCAATACATTTTCTAAATAAAATAAAATAAATTCATTTTGGGAAATTACGATTGTTTTATTACTGTTTTTATATAATATACAATATTGTGACATTGCTATCCTAGGTGCTTTGGGAGCAAAAATGGATCTTTGGTTGCCTGCAGTTTTATTGAATAACCACACTTTTACTGAAGACTTGTTATTCTTCTTCTCAGGAGTGCATTATAGACGAAGACTGTGAAATTGGAAAATACTGTGCATTCTCTGATTTGGCGTACAACTGTCACATTTGCAAACCTCAACACGGAGTGAGCATTTCATTTTTATCCACTTTCTTTTTCTATCTATAAGTTGATAAGTTAGGGTTAAATTGTTAAAAGATTGAATATTGAGCTATGTTTGTTGCATTATGCTTATACATAATGTCTCATCTCAAGGCTCCATGACTTGATGATTTTGTTCACAAAACAGTTTCTAGAGTTGGAAAAGCATGGATGAAATGGCTTCTGAATACATGCACTTTATTACCCATTTCTGTAAAATGTAAAATATGTTTTTTTAAAAAAAACAGCTTCTAGATCAGCGGTTCTCAAATATTTTGGCTGCAATATTTTATTTTATATTATTAAAAAATGATTGGGGACCCCAAAGATTTATGTGGATTATGCTTAATGATACTTTTTCTATTAGAAATTAAAGCTGAGAAGTTTTAAAATATTTTTTTTATTTATTTGACTCTGTGGTTTTCATGAAATGGTTTCCCCAGACCACAGTTTGAGTCCTTTTTTATTTTTTAGTTGAATTGGCCTAAAATTATGATTACTTCGGAATATGAGTCATGAAAATATCTTGTTAGTCTTGTTGACAGTTATCAAATGTATATACAAAATGTTCAAGAATTTATATAAGAATAATAGTTCAAATTGCAGTGAAATAGTTTGAAAAATATCTTGGAAGATATTTAATGACAGAGTAGGTAACCTAGGATCTAGAAGGGAAAACTCAATATTTCCTGTCACAACTACTACTCTTTATTCTTGTTTGCTTGAGATTCTTCAAAAATAACTTGCTTTCCATTTTATGAACATGTTTTGTTTTCTTTTTCCCCAAAACAGATTGCCAGATAAAGGCTTGAATATTTTGCCTCTGTATTGCTGCACTAATATTGTGTCACTGCAAATTTCATCATGTGCTGTTCTAAAACGATAACATTACAGGCATTTTTAAAATTTCCAGACTTTTTTGAGATTTGACATGCATTGCTGTTACATCTGTTTGCCTGTAAATTTCATTTCCTTTTTCTAGGGTGGGAGGTCAGGAGAAAAAACCCAACAGGTTATGTCATACTAGACAGTGAAAGATACAAAGCTCCATTTTTCCAAACCTCACTGTAGATCTAAGTCTTAGATCAGATCATAATGCTTGCAATAAATTGTTCCTGTGGATGTTTTCTTATTTTTTTATTTTTTTTTATTTTTAAGCACTGTTCTCGGGATGTGGAGTGTTGCGGACAACAGCTCTGTGTATGGGGTGAGTGCATGCAAGCTGTCTCAAAAGGAGAAAATGGAACAATTTGTGAAAATCAACATGACTGCAATCCAGGTTTGTGCTGTGCATTTACAAAAGGTCAGTCACTTTTATATTTTTAAAAAATTGTTCCTCTTGTTTCTTCTGGATAATTAACAGAACAAGTTACAATATCTGCATATATGAGTTTGTATTTCTGTTAAGATATTAAATGTTGTTAATATTTAAATACTCTGTATAACAGAGAAATAGTCTAATGTAATATTCTTCACAAGTAAGCATCTTGTTTCAAATGAGCATGTTTTTATATCTTCTAACATTTCATTTCAATGAAGAATAGATTCCTTACAGAGAAACTGAGTGAATAAACAAAGAGAACTAGTGCATTTGCTTGGGGAGTGCAGCAGGGGAATTTAAGGGGGATTCCATAACAATCAAGACTTTGTGCTTAACCTGAGAAAAGGACAAGAACAAACAGCATACAACTAGTAGAAAGATTCTTAAGAAGTGAAGATGAATGGACTGAAATTCCATTTTGACCCACATTGCTTATAGCAAATTTTGCTGCCTGAAGAAAAACCTCCTGAAATATATTTGCATCAAATCGTGGTTGTTGCTTTCCTTGAAAATTGGATTGATGAGTGATATATTTCACTGATAAAAATTTGAAGTGGATTTATCCGTTCAAAGAAAAGTTACACGGCAGAAATATATATTATGGAAGCATTTCTTCATTTTAAGAAAGCAGATAATCAAGTGCAATAAAGTGCAAGTGCAATAAATGAAAGTAACAGGCATAAGCAAGAGACATATGATATATTCTTCATTATTTGATGTCAGGAATGGTTTTCAGGCCCTCATAGATGAAATAGGCTCTGAATGTTCAGAGGAAGAAAAAGACAATAGAAAGAGAGGATCATAAATCTCCAAAGGATAGCTATGTCCTAAAAGAAGATAAAGACAAGAGTTGTGATAGCTGGTGATTTACTATTGTAAGAAATTGTATGGCAACTGGGACCATTGGCTTGTGAAATTGGTGTCTGCCAGATCAAGAATAAAGGCATAGATAGAATATTTTTGAGATCTTATCAAGTCTGGTAACAGTTATTTTTCCCTGCTGACAAATGTGAGGACAAGCGGTACTGCAAAGAAAAAGGTACAACTACATTAGTCTAGAGTTCTTGGAAGGAAATTAGGATATTGACAGCTGCTTACCATCCTTCCAGTCCATTGAAGATGTCCAGAAAGAAACCCCAGTAAGCAGATTGTGTCAACAGCTAGTCTTTGCTTATTGATCACAATCGGGCCTGGAATTTTGGTTGAAAGTTGTTGCAGTCCTTAAGTAAGATATCCACACACCACTTCATTTAACAATCCCAGCTCCCTTGGTTGTGGTTGTTAAGCAACCACACGAATCATTAAGGAGATGGAGTGAAAGAGCTGCCTGCCAAAAGAGGTCAGGTCTTTCTCTCCTGCACAGAAGGGAACCCCTTGCGTTGACAAGCTGAATGGGGATTGGATCTTTGGGATCCAGGTTTAGTTGGCCTAGAGCTGGTGTCCTCTCTCCATGCTCTGTGTGCAAAGAAGGACCCTTTTAGCCAGGCTATTTGACAGCCTTCCAGAGTGATTTCGTCCTGTGCAGGGTGGAATCTCTGTGCTAAGCAGCTCTTTCACTCTCAAAGAGGGCTGGCTGAAAAAGATCTGCCTGAAATCCAAGCAAAAAAAAAAAAATCAAACTTGAGTTTTCAGGGTAGACCTTCTTCAGCCAACTCCAGGAACCAGTCAGATAGCTGTGGCTTACAACTTTGCCTACCAGAAGAAACTGACAAGGAAGATTGCAAATGGCAATCACATGATTACAGGACTCCTGGCAATCTATTGTACCTATGAAAGGTTGCCAAGCACTCAGATTGCAATCATATGATAATGGTGTGTGTGTGTGTGTATGTATGAGTGCTGCAACAATTGTAACTTTGGGCATGGATCATAAGTCTATTCAGTGCTGGTGATAATTTTTAATGGTCACTGAATAGATGGTCATTTAGCAAAGAGCTGTATTGCACATTTGAATATCCATCCTTGCTAAGAAGTCTAAATGAATTAATTTGGCAATGATATAAATCTGTCTAACCAAGGTGAACACATGTTGCAGATATTTCAAAGGGGAAGGAAGGAAGGAAGGAAGGAAGGAAGGAAGGAAGGAAGGAAGAAGAAACTGATTATAGTCAAACATAATCTTGGCCCTAAAAAACAACAACAAGCAGATGGAAATTCCTAAGAAGGAAGAAAGCTTAGTGAAACTTTGAAAACAGGAAGAGGGTAGATCACAGAGCAAGTCACATAGGCCGGCATAGTGAAGCTGGTGTCAGTAAATGAAAACTCAGAGATTAGCAAAATATTGTAAAAATTTAAAAAAGGCTTTGTGAGAAGACAATACTCATTGATTCCACTTATACCTCACATCATTCACATACAACTTAGCTTTAAAACCATGGGAAAGAGAATTGAACTCTGCCTAGCATGAGAACTCAGGTTGTGTTCAAGGTTGAATCCCTCTGTGGGTCTGAAGAAATTTCAAACAATAAGCTGGTTGGCAATCAGCTGAGCCAATGAAAAGCAAAGGCTTTTATATTATGAGCCCTTGTGGCCTTGTCAGCAGCAGTTGAGTATGCCAAATGGGGAACAGCTGAGGCCACAGTAGACTCAGCTTACACAAGGCTCCAGTTGGGACCAATCAGAGTCACCCTTGCTGAGGGTGAGATGTCCAACAGCCTTCCAGTCCTGCTTAGCAAATGGGACCATCCACTGAAAAGTGATAAAGAAAAGGATATTGAAGGGAAATAAAGAGCTCTAAGAAGTCCCTTGCTGTAGACCCCAAAGATTGGAAGAACCCTAGAATGTGTAGCCTTAATAATAGTAAACAGTAGCCATCTATTGTACATGAAAAGGAAAAAGGCTAGAGAGAAGAAAAGAAATAAATACATAGATACTAGCATGGAGAAAGCCAACTTCTCTAAAAATCAAGTGCTTACTCCAGTGGTGGCAACTGTGTAAGTACCACCCTTCAGGAAGGAAAGAGAACTCTCTTAGTCTAAAAGTTCAGGGGCAAGAACATCCTGAAGTAGCAGGCTAGTTATCTCCATCCAAATATCCAGTGGAATTAGGCAAGCTACCTGCAAGAGGTTATTCTGGTTAAGTTTCTCATCCTTCATGAATAGCAGTAAAGTTTAGCTTCTCAGTAAGAAATGTAGCCTGGGAAAACAGCCAAGAGTGAAATGGCCCAGATAGAGATGGTGCAAGTTTGGAATATTTCCCAGAAAGTTCATTCAAAGTGGAAACGGAAAGTTAAAAGCCTTCTTCGTGTCTTTATAACAACAGAGGAGAAAGAAAGTTTAACTTAGAATTGGTCTTGTGTATTGTCTGAATTTTTGTACCATCCTGAATCTCTGATAGGCTCATCTATTGTCAGAATAAAAGAAAAAGGATTGATAGATTAGCTGCTCAGCAAGAAAGGCAAAATATTAACAAGTTAAAGGAAAGATAGATCTAGTCAATTCTTATTTTGGTTCAGTTTTCTTCAATAAAAATTTTGTGTTCCACCAAACAATATGAAGGGCAGGAGGAAAGCAGAAAGATTAATAGAAATATGGTTAGGGAGTGCTTCTTCTGAATGAAGTCCATTCTTAGAAACCACATGAATTGCATCCTTGGTTACTGAAGGACTGACTAAGTGAAAATTCATATATTATCTTTGAGAAGGCCTGAAGAATTGATGAAAGGCCAGATAACCAAAGCAGAATAGGTATGTCTATCATCAAAAAAGGGAAAAAGAATGATAAAACAAACTGCATATTGGTTAATCTGACATTGATGTCTGGGAAGAAGCTAGAGGAGGTATAGAAATGGATCTATAAGCACCTTGTCAACCAGGTGGTAATAACCAGAAGTCGTCATCATGGATTTGTCAATAACATATCCTGCCAGATTAATCTTGTCACAATTTTGATATTTATTTCTCAAATAACTATCAGAAAACTGTAGGCATTTCTGGTGTTCAGCAAAGCATTTCATAGAGTCAGCTGTGGTATGCAAATTAGCAAGCTATTTAAACATGTAGTGGATGATTAAAAGGACAGTTAAGCGGATAGATGCTAACCTGAAAATTGTATAGGTAGTCCTCAACTTATGGCCATAATGGAGCCTGTTCTTTTTGCTTGCAAATTGTGATGACCATTATGACTGGATGGGAAGTAGGCCTTGTCCTATAGAAGAGGGGTCCCCAATCCCTGGTCAGTGGACTGGTACTGGTCTGCAGCATGCCAGAAACAGGGCCATGCAAATAAATGATACCCCATCTGCGGGATGCAAGCAGCATGTGAAACCACGTTCTGGTCAGTGGAAAAACCTCTCTCCATGGAACTGGTCCCTGGTGTCCAAAAGGTTGGGGGCCACTTCTATAGAATGTAACCCTTCCATATGCTGATAGTTTCTGCTGACCAGCTTTAGGCTCCCTCGTATGGCTTAATGGTCAGGTTGGGAGCAGGCAGGATGGCTGGGGGGGAATATAGGGGCTGCATCATCCCTGCAATTGAATCATAAGTGTGAATAAAGATTGGGGGCACTACAGTGGCCATAAATTTTGAAACCAGATGATAAGTATCTTTTGGGAAGTCTATTGTAATTTCAAACAGTCATTAAGCAACCAGTTGTATGTCGAGGACTATCTGTATTCACTAAGTACTTACCACTGGATCATTATCAAACTGGACAGACATAGCAAATAAGTGCCATATTTGTGGCACTTATTATAATATTATTATTATAAGTGCCTTGATGCTTTGGTATGTTTATTAAGATTTAGATGAAGAGGTAATAAAAATGCTTATCCGATTTACAGATAATACTGAATTTGATGGGATAGTGAATACTATAGATGAATAAATTCAAAATGTTCCTAATAGCTTGGAACAACAAGTTATGAGGAACTGAATGAAAATTAACAGATGTAAGTCCAAAGTTCTTCCCTAATAAAACTTTAAAAATGATTATACAGTGTAGGATGGAGGAGACCTATAAAAAAGATCTTGTATTAGTATTTAATTGCAGATCTGAGTATTAGTCAGCAGAGTAATGTAGCTGCAAATGTGACAAATGTAGCTGCAAATCCAATTTTAGGTTGCACCAATAGAATAACTCTTCAAGTAGATGAAAGGAAAGTTATGGTCTTATTTTTACTCATTCCAGTGTGGGGGATACAGAATCTCACACTTTAAGTCACAGGGAGGCATTTTCCAATTTATTGTTAGAAAAAACTTCCTAAGAGTGGGAATTTGATGAAGGAACACAGGCAGTGGTAGGTACTATTTCATTGGAATGTTCAAACAGAAGCTTAAAAGATTCCCGCACTGAGCAGGGATTGGATTTAATGGTTTAAATAGTAGCTTCCAATTCTCTGATTCAGTTAAATTTGTAACAGGAACATTATTGGTATATAAGGCTGCATGGCAGTTGTGAAGCTAAGTATGTGTATGTGTCAATGGCACATCAGGACAAGTTTTCCTTTGGGCTTCCTTGTTGTAACTACTATATTGTGTCTAGCTCAAGTAAATTCAACCCCTTTTTCTGAAATTATTAATAGTTGGATAAAACATCTCCCATTAATTTGCGGTTATAACTTGTTATGGTGTAATTTTAAAAGTGATATAATAAAGGAAAAAAGAAAATACCTTAACAGTATTCACACACATAGACACATAGACACATAATCTTCCTTCATTGCAAAATGGAGGAAATTAGAAGCATACTTCTCCCAGTGCTTCAGGAGCAAGTCTTTAAGGATCATTATTATAGCTAAGAAATCCTTAAATAATGGTTTTAAATAATGATCCTTTCATAATACTGTTTTTGATGTTTAGCATTTTGGATAGTATGTTATTAGGGGAGATAACAAATACTAGTATTTGTTTTGAGTCATCTTGTAAGCCAGTTTGGAGAGACAGCTTGAACCCTGAAGGGTGGCCCAAATTAAGTACCATGAATAATATAAATAATTCATCTTTCGCATATAATAAAAATAAACAGACTTTTCAAATTTTCTCAACAGATCTTCTGTTCCCCATATGCAGCCCCTTCCCTGGTGAGAGAGAACCTTGCCGTAATCCTTCAGATGGGCTTCTCAACCTAATTACTTGGGAGCTGCAACCAGATGGAGCTCTTGATCGGTGCCCATGTGCTCATGGGTTGATTTGTCAGAAACAGAGGTACAATTTCAGATTAGATAGAATTAAACTCTCCTCAGAACTTCATTGGAAAATTAAGATCAGGCTAAATATTTCAGTTTCGAGAAACACATCTGTGCCTATTAAATTAGCATTACTGCAGAAGTGTGTTGGAAGCTTGCAATCATGGCAAAGCAGAAATCAGATTAACTTCTTACTATCTGCAAATGTAAATATAAAACAATTTGAATGCTATAGGAAATTAATCAAGGTAAATTACTCAAAAGACAAGGTAAACGTTCGTATGAAATAGTTATTTGAAATGTTTCCTTAAGGGTTTCAGTTCATAGCTCCTGACCAAAATCATTGCTTCCAACCACAAGAATTAAGGCTGCCTTAAATTTTGGAAAAATACAATGGACACACAAATGTGTAACTAGCAGTAATCAAGAGCAATTTTGTGTAGTTTGAGATAGAAGATAGAAGAAAGACATCTTGCCACTTTCTAAGGCTGCTGTGTATTTCAAACAAAGTTTCCATTACTGTTGATTTTCAGGAGCATCATAATCATAAATACAAAATCAGGAAGCATTGAAACTAAACACAAATACACTCTGGTTAAATACTAGTAGTTTCCAATGATGAGAGATGTAACCAGAGGAATAGGTTGCCTTATGTAGATTTTCAGAGGTTGGAGAGCCATCTGTACTAAATGCTTTAGCTGACTTACTTTTATGAGTCAGCAAAATGGGGAAAATAAAAGGAAAATACTCTTTTTCTATGTACTTGGCCCTAACCTGCTTAAATTGTTATGTAACAGAGGTTCACACATTTGTCACATTTGTACGGTCTGCATAGTCCGATAGTGAAGGATGGTCAAAGTGGTTTAAGGGCTGCCACAATACAATGTGATCATTACTCAGGGTTCATTTTTTATTTTTGTGAACTAATCCATTTTTCTTGGTAAGGCTTTTCAGAATTGGTTTATCACTGTCACCTTCTTCCTAGAACTGAGCGTGACTGACTGGCCAAGGTCACCTAGCTGGCTCCAACATGAGGCTAGAACTCACTCTCCTAGTTTCTAGTTATATGCCTTTAACCACTACACAAACCCAGCTTGCTTTGCTTAGGAACTATAAAAATATTTCATTGAAAGGTAGTCGATACCTGGTTCATCGTAGTTCAGGAATGTAGAAGCATTTTGTAACATGGGAATTAGCACTATTAGCCTGTTCCTGTAGTTACATCTGTACTGAATACCCTTGGGGAACTGAGGGGGAGATGTACTGCGTGATTTAGGCTGATAGATAGGCCTGGATTCATTTCATGATATGGCAGGCTGAGAGTAGTCCAGCAGGGAATTATTAATATTACTGGGTTACCAATCAGACTAAGGTTCATAGCCCTAAGTTTTCAAACTGAGTCAAAGGTAGTGATTGCTAAGAGATGTAATTTTATTCTACTGGTATAAAATTCCTGAATATGCCATCAATCCCAGATGGAAGATCACTATTGTCACTTGCATCACTGTCCACAAAGGTCATAAAGATCAATCACATCATGATGCTTGGAAGCATTAATAGTGATGGCTAACCTTTTCAACACCAAGTGCTCAAAGCACGTGTGCAAACCCCCAAAATACCCTGTGCGCGCACCCTAGCCTTCTTGCATGTACCCTGCACCCCACACGTGTCCGTGTTGCTTGGATGCGCCCCCCCCGCACATCTGCGGCAGAGACCCAAAGACCAGCTGGCTGATGGGAGGTGTGCACACATGTACAGACGAGCTGAGCTGGGGCGACAGCTTGCGTACCCACAGAGAAGGCTCTGCATGCCACCTCTGGCATGTGTGCCATAGGTTTGTCATCACGGCATTAGTATGTGACTTCCGTGGCACTTTTAAATTAGTATAACTCCACTTGAAGGCCATAGCCATTGATTGTAAAGAGGATTCCTTCTCTTAACATGGTTAATTCACTGTATTATTAGACTTTCTATATTGCTCATTATGTTGTCTACATTTTATCAAGTTAAACTCCAAGGGTTATCTTCACATCTAATGTAGTGTGAATGAATTATTTACTGATGTAAAATAACTTCAAAACTTTCCTATGATTTAATTCCCGAGTCCATTTATTTGCTAGAGAACAAAACTTCCAAGAAACCAACATAATAGCCTGCATTACCTCATCCTGATGTCAACAGGTATCATGAAAATGCAGTTGAATCTCTGTTGATCCCAAGGAGCATGTAATGTGTAGGAACATGTAAAACAAGAATGTTTCAAGAGGTGTTACAGAGAGACTGGAGAATTCTCCCTCCTCTCCTTCCTGTGAAAAATGAGGCATTGCCTGTTATCCTGTGAGGTAAACACATCAGTCCCTGAGTTGCTGCCTTGAGATTTAATGAGGGCTATAATGAATGCTGTTTCCATTTCGGTAGCTCGTCATGCAACTCAGATTTTCAGTATTGGTTATTGTTTGCAGATATGGGGTGTCAAGGTAGGGATTGAGTGGGAGACTAAATGTAAGACTAAAAGTTGCCCAGTAAAAAAATACAATAAAATGGAAATCCCCCAATTCGTCCTTTAGAGAGAAGCACATGGTCAGAATATTGTTAGACACCCCCCACCCCCTAGTTACAAGAACCAAAGCAGAGCTTTTAAGTGGTTGGAAAGAATTCCAAAAGCCAAGATCTCTGTGGTGTTTTCCTTTCTGTTAAATCACAGCATAAAACCAGTCCAATTGTTAAGCCATGTTCAGGTTACATTGACATGTACTCACTATTAAAGGTTTGTGTCTAAACTGTAAAAAGAACATTTAAGGGACATAAAACCAGTTTAAATGTTAGAATGTTTAAATGTAGGTACATTGAAACATGTAATTTTAATCATATACATATTTGTCCAACTAATACCAATATACAATGCTGAAACCTGGAATTTGTTTTTTCCAGTTATAGCAGCGACTCTCTTTGTGAATTATCACGGAACAAGACTCAAAGCGAGGACAAAAAACAACTACTAGCAGATGAATTATCACTTCTGGATTTTGTAACTGAAGATATTCCTGGTGAATATGAAGAGAGACTGATCAAAGTGCAGAAAGAACTGGAAGATGGAGTGACTGATTTAGAAAAATTAGCTATGGCTAGTGACCTTTTTGGAGAGGAAATATAAGTCCAACAAGTTAATTGACCACACGCACACTATTATCGCTGTTTCAAGAGTTCTTATACATACATGGTATACCTGCACCTCTTCTCTGCTGCATAGAAGTGCAGTTAAGTCCACTTAAATAGATTAATGAAAATAGATTCTTCTAAAGCTCAAGCTAAATACTGTATAATGGGTAGAGATCTCTACCTTTTAAGTACTGTTTTGAGCTGGTTAAGAGTTAGGATTGAATTAATTTAAGTCAGATGGTTTGAATTATGTATTTCCTGTATATATTGCTTCTTTAAAAGAGATTCCAGCTATTTTCTCCTTAAAAGCTCAATGATACTGAAGGATGCTATGTACCTTATGACCAGAACCTATAGGAACTTGGTATATATGCATAGGATAACTGTTTTAGTTATATTGATTACACCGGATAGAAGTGGTAGCTTCACATCTTGGTTTGGAATGAACATTTCCTGAATGACAATATGGCTGAAATTGGATGGGTTGTACTGCAATAAAACTGAACACTCCTCATGGCAAGACATGTAAAATGTGTATCTACAGGTATTTATAAATAGCACTTAGACTTACATACCACTTCACAGTGCGATTTAGTCAGCATATTGCCCCCAACAATATGGGCCCCATTAAGGATGAGTCAACCTTGAGCCCGTGAGGATTGAACCCCAGGTGCTCTCTCTCTCTCAACACACACATAAAAAGCTGATCATTTTGAGTGTTTTAGGATGTATACCTTTTCCACAGTACAGCTCCAATCAGCCATAGCTACGTAGTTTCTTCAAATCCTCACAGTTCCATTAACAGGAAAATGCAATTATAGAGTGGTGTTTTTTTGTTTTTTTGTTTTGGAGTACCTAAATATTGGAAAAGTAGAGCTTTTCTTGATTTTCTTTTAAATAACCATCTTACTATGCCATAGAAATATTATTTCCAACCCGTATATTTTTAGCAGCATTGTCTAATCCTTTAAGATATATTGGAGTCCTGGTCAAATTTTGTCTGAGTGACAGTTTCAAACATTGTAGGAATGAATACTGGCCTTATCTACAACATCTGTCTATATTCTCCAATCTTTGGTTGTTATCACAAAGGTCTCACTAGGAACTGTATTCATGTTTTCTCTGAATATGTATATACCTCAGTTCCAGATCCCTCATGAATTAGAAAAGAAATTAAACACAAACTAGTCAGATTTTGTGCAGCACTGGCACCTGTGCAGAATAAATAGCATAGCAATAGCACTTAGACTTATATACCACTTTATAGTTCTTTACAGCCCTCTAAATGGTTTACAGAGTCAGCATATTGCCCCCAACAATTTGGGTCCTCATTTTACCCACCTCGGAAGGCTGAGTTAACCTTGAGCCTGGTGGGATTTGAACTGCAATTAGGAGGCAGCTGGCTGCAGAAGTAGCTTGCAGTACTGCACTCTAACCACTGCGCCACAGAGGCTCTTTCATATATAAAGCTTCACATATTCAAATACCTGTGACATCTTTCCACAATTAGCTGCAAGTATTCATGGCAATTTAAGATCCACCAGCAAACAAACATTTGGAAGTCAATTCAAAAGGCTTTTCTTCTGTCTACATAAGAATTTCTTGCAAAACAATTCTGTATTTTGACTATTACAATAAAATTCAAAGTGTCATTAAAGTAACAATAGAATGAACAAATGTTTTATTTGCATGTTCATGGTTGTAAACAGCATCTGGCATGGAAAAATTTACCAAAAGCTTTGACTGATATAAATTAGATAGCATTTTCGAAAAGAAAAGAAAAAGAAACCCCTCTATGATATTGTTTGTAATTGCTCTTATGTAGCAAATTAAATCTCATATATGCTTTGCAATGAAATCATATTTTATGCATCAATCTGTACCACATTTTGAACTACTGCAAACTATATTGGGAGGTGTTAAATGAAGGGCATTCATTTAAAAAAGCTACATGTAAAAACTATGAATCAACTCTCAAGAAAAAATGTGATTTGCAATGATGCTAGAAAAAGCAAACTCAAAAGAATCCCAGTCCAAAAATGTACAAAAATAAGTAGCTAACCAAACAAAAAGCCCTGAAACTCATTAACAAGGAAACATTACAAATCTAAGTACCCAACATTGCCCTCAAAAACAAAAGGGATACAAATTTAAATAGCCAGCTATACTCTTAAATGTACACAGTGAATATCGTTATGTGGAAAGAAATACCATAGTAAGCAGTTGAAATGTATTTCTGGTAACTCAGGAGAGCAAAACAGTATTTACACACTGAACAGAATAGTGACATCGCCATTATTCATAACCTAACTAAAAATCAGTTACAACACTTCTGCAAAATAAACACCACCTGCTGGCAATGGTAAGTTTTTACTAAAAAATACTTTTTCTCCAGGTGTCTTTGCTTCATGGAAGATGAGTCCAACGAGACTTAAGTTAAACTGTAAGCTTTAAGGGATAAGTTTGCCAATTTCATTGTATTTCTAGTCCATTTCCACATCTTTGTTTTTATAAAAACCACTGTCACATTTACTTCAGAAATCATCTGTGAGGTAATGTGTGTATCAGTGAAAAAAAAAACAAAATCATTCATGGCCTTTGCACAGCTTTTATTAAGCTATGAATATCCTGTCTGTGGCTAGTTGACTAGCTACTGCTATGTGCACATTTATCTCCAATTTTTGCCAATTACCCTCCCCCACTATGCTTTTCTAGGTTTTTATTTGCACATCCCTTTTCTCTTTACAGTACATTTGACTATAGTGCACAACATGATTCCAAGTCAAACGGGGACTTGACTGGGCACTGAACTGGACTGCGCTGTCCTTTACCAATCAGTGCTGATGCCTCTTCTTTTTATACCTAATGTCCTGCCATAATGGCACTACACAGTAGTTGTGTACCTTTTTCATACTTAAGAAAAATTTCCCAGAGAAAATGCTGAAATAAATATCAGTCTTGAGTCAAATCTTTATTTGGCGCTCCATCAAGATATATTTTTAGTGCTTTTTCTTTACGAGGGGAGTAGGTCACACGATGTCCAGTTTTCTGAAGTCTACTGCTTTCTTTTTTCATGAGTTCATTTCTCTGGTCTTCAGTTAGTTCCACCATTTCTTCGGTTTTATCCCTTATATTAAAAAAAAAAAGGATTTAAATTCTACAACAAACACAAATTTACACATTTTTAACCAGATGGTGTACATTTTTTTGTCCTAACACATAAAACACCTTCTGGACAAGATAAAATCACCCACATTTCACTTAATTTTGGGACAGAGCCAAGACCTTACAGCTCTTAATGACAATGCTGTACTGAACAGCCAGTTCAGAGAAAAGATGGAAAATTAGAAAAGATGTTTGCTATCCAAAGATCCAAAAGGAGTAAGTTAGCAAACCGGTAACTGGTCATTTTCTAAACTACATTATTCTTGGCAATAACATAAAGTGGTAGATTTCACAAATGCTATATAATTGCGTGTATTTGAAAAAAAGCAAACTTAAAATTATTTCAGTACAGCTGGCTTATAACCTGGAGGTCTTCTAGGTTTCACAGCTCCTGCTTGAACAGCATATGGAGGCCACGGCTAGTAGGACCTTTGTATAATTTTATCTAAAGTACTATTCCTGGATCAGGGAACATTGTACACAATCACCAATGCCCCCATCACATTGTGGTTGGCCTGTTGCAGTTCATTATTCAGTAGGGCTCCTGCTGAATACTATTTGAAGGCTTCATCTGCTACAACATATGGTACCTAGGATAATTAACGCCTATATTTGCCCATGTGATACCAGTACAACAGGAGCCAGCTTGGCTGTCAATCTGTTTCTGGGTAAATTAAAGATACTGGTTATCACCTTGAAAACCTCGAAGGGTCATGTTCTGACCAAGGCTTCCTGAGACGGTAATTAAGCACACGCTTAGTCCAAACAACTCAAACAGTCTCTCGAGATAAGCACTCACCTTTATCTCCTTTGAATTGCTGCCAACAACTAAAGTGCCAAATTAACTATAAAAAGCTAAATGAAGTACAAAGTCCACACAGAGCTTCAAGGTTTAATCCAAACAGAACGAACGATGTTGCTTCATGCAAAGACTCCTGTCTCTTTGCACCTCCTTTATAATCTTATGGGAGGAGCAATCACCTCAAAGCCTCACTCCCGAGTTATCCCTTGTCTTAGCTGCTCTTGCCTTCTGGCAGCTCTGCACACATGCACACTGGGAGCAGGCTCCCCTTGTTCCTCTGCCTTGCTGCTGTCAGATTCTGGAGGCTCCAGAGCCAGCATATAACTCCAGATGGCCCCGGCCCCATCTCTGTATTTGGACGCAAGACTCTCATCTGAGTCCTCCCCAGACTTGCCAATGTTCTTCCCCACTGTTAGATTCTGCTGCTGTCTCTGCAAGCTACTGGCAGACCACAAGTCAGACCCTGGATACCTTTGAGACCAACTGCACTGAGCTGAGTCTTCCTGTCCAGTAAAAGCTATGAGGCTTGTTAAGAATTCCTTCTCTGAGCGTATAGCATTTACCAGGACCCTTGCAGTCAAGCAGCACATACATATCTCTTGAATACTGATTAAATTTATATTAAATATTATTTCTGTACTACCTTTGCTTAGCTTCAAATCCAGTAGTAGGCATAAACTCCGAATTATTTTAGACTATGCTAGCTTACAGCTATATGTATCTTGAAAACATTGAGTAAAATGTTTTATTCTTAAAAATTTCACTCCTAAAGAGTAAAATGATTACACTGTTTCCCTAAGTAAGCAGTTGAAATGCAAAATTCTGACAATATCATAAAGAGATTCAAACTAATGCAGTCAGAAAATGAACAATATATGATTCCTTCCTGAGTAATTTCTAATTTATTTAAAGCACTTTTCTACAACTACTGTTTTTTCATATTGGAATTTTTTGCAGTTTTTCAATATATAGGAGGTAATGACATAAATGGATATACCTATAAAATATTACTGCTCCATCGTCACAAATGTAGAGAGGCCATACATTCAGTGTGGAAACCTTCGGATTCCAGTCCAAATCTTGATGTATCTCTAGAATGGAGATCTCACATGGAAATGTCCCTCTACCCTGGAAAGGAGAAACAGAGTATCTTAGTAAAATCTGTATTTATACCTTTATATTTGATTTATACAGCTACCCATCTCGCTAAAGGCAACTCTGGGTGGCATATAATAATCATACCTATGTATGTTATGGCCCAACACAAGTATACATACTCAAAATATAGGTGTGCTATGACCATAATCAGTATTGTTTTTCATTTATGTCTCTATTTCCAAATCAATCCTTTCTCAAATTCATGACTTGATCACATTTTTCAGTTTAGTGTAATAAATCCATTCCTCAATCTCCCTCAGTCCTCCCAGGAAAAGCCAATTTGTCACTTCTCCATTCAGTCAGGCTTCTGTACTGTGAAAGAATGCAGGCTTGAACTTCAAGGAGATGTAGGTGATTAGCTAGGACTTCATTACATTTTCCAATGCTATATGAAATAAAAAATTAAATCAAATGGCCTAGCCAATTGATGGGTATTTTACCCGCTCATATATTAAAG